GGGGGGCATCCACACAATAGGTCATCTGTGAGAGCGTTTCATCAGTTCTGTGTCGATCTTACTGCTGTGCTATTGCTTAAACCAGTGGGAATGAACTCTGAGTGCAGGTGCTTAAGGGTGACATTTCTTTAATGCGATATAATTTATGCAAATAGCGAGGGAGGTTGCTGGGATTATCCAGAGAGTGCCTGTAAACCACCCATGCTTGTAAGAAAGAAGCGGAGGGATCTAGTGGGACCACGTGATGCTGTTGAAAACCAAAGCTCAGACTGGTGTTTTCACAGCATAAAAGTTATTTTATTATCTCTGCATTCTGATGCACATCAGAAAGAGATCATCCAATCTCAACCTGTCAGCGGTGATCAAGCTGAGCATATTTTTCAGTGAATGGCTAGAAAAGGGGGCAAAGTGATAGTAGAGTGGGTAGGGCTTTGCACACAGCCCACCCAGGTTTGATCCCCACCATCCTATGTGGTCCCCCAATCTCCGCCAGGAGAAATTCCTGAGTGCAGAGCCAGGAGTAATCCCTGAACATCTCTGGACATGATCCATAAAGCCCCTATAAACCCACCCTGAGAAGACTGGAGAAGTGTTTTTTGGGGGATATACCTGGTGATGCCCAGGGCTTTAATCCTAGTGGACTCACAGACCATATGGATTGCTGGATGTCAAACCTGTGTCAACTCCATGTAAGACAAGCATCCTACCCAAAGTACTATCACTCAGGCCCCTGGAGAAGTATTTTTAAAAGCTAACTCTGGGGCTGAAGTGATAGTCAGCAGGTAGGGTGCTTGTCTTTCACGTAGCTGACGTGGCTTTGATCCCCAGCATCTCATCTGGTCTCCCCAAGTCCTCCAGGAGTGGTCCCTGAGTGCAGAGCCAGGAGTAGGCCCTGAGCATCACTGGATGTGGCCCCCTAAAGAAAAGTCAAACATGTGTTCCTGTTACCAACAGCATCTGTCACTCAATGTGTGATTGTCTTAATTTTTAATTTTTTAATTGAATCACTGTGAGATAGACCCTTACAAAGCTGTTCATGATTAGGTTTCATTCACACAGTGTTTCAGCACCCATTCCCCCCTTGCAGTATACATTTCCCAGTACCACCAGTGTTCCCAATGTCCTTCCCATCACCCCACCCACCTCTAGCCTGACTCAAAGGCAGGAACTTCTCTCCTTCTTTCTCTCTCTCTACCTCCCTCTCTTCTCTCTCTCTCTCTCACTCCCAACCCCTTGGGCATTATAGTTCGCAATACAGATACTGAAAGGTTGTCATTTACCTACTTTCAGCACTCAGTTCCTGTCTAGTATGATCATTTTAAACTATTTTTGATGTGATTCTTTTTTGCTTTCAAATATTTTATTATCCTTGTAGAAGCAATAGGACACAGATAAGGTACTGGCCTTGCACGCTGTAGAATGCAGATCCCAGCACTCCATAGGGCACCCTGAATCTTTCCAGGAGTGATCACTGAGTGCAGAGCCAGGAGCAAGGCCTGAGCACTGTCGGGTGTGGCTCCCCCAAAACCTAAAAAAGACCAAATAAAAAATATTTTTCATCAATCCTAACAACACACACATCTCTGCATCCACATTCTTTGTCAATCACAGAATTTCAAGATCTTGCCACATGGATCATCATTTCTGCAGACTTGAGTATGAATAGATAAGTATATGCTGCGAAAACAGAAATAAGTTTTTATTCCTATAACATTATATGGGCTGGAGCGATAGCACAGTGGGTAGGGCATTTGCCTTGCACCTGGCCAACCTGAGTTTGATTCCTCTGCCTTTGATTCCTCCACCCCTCTCAGAGAGCCCAGCAAGCTACCAAGCGTATCTTGCCCTCAGGGCAAAGCCTGGGAAGCTACCTGTGACATATTCGATATGCCAAACACAGTAACAACAAGTCTCACAATGTTACAATCGATGAACAATGGGGAGGATAGTGACAGTGACAGTGATAACATTATATCAAAGTCTAAATTTTCATGCCTTCTAAGGCAAGTGTGACCAAAGCTGGGTCATCACTGTTCAGTTTCTGTAACTTGTGATGTTGTACCACACTGACTTGTGAAATTGTAGCCCTAATCCTAGTAGAGCAGCAATAAACTCTTTGTAGTATTTTATCAATGTGGTGTTCTTTAAGTAAAGTTGGTCAGGGCAGCAGCTTTTTTTTTCACTTTTTGGTCAAACTCAGTGAGTCTTAGGGGATAATCATGCCTCTGCACTCAGGAATCACTCCTGGTAGTGCTCAGGGGACCATAAGGGGTGTTGGGATCTAATCTGGTTCGGCTGCCTGCAAGGCAAATGCTCTACCCACTGTGCTATCACTCCGGACCCTGTCTTTGTCTTTGTGCAGCAATAAACTTAGACATTTTATGTGGAATTTGAAATCTATTAGAATCATATGAATTGTATGCACAGAGTGTGTGGATAACTAGACAAGAAATGGATCTTTGCAATAAGCCCTGGTGCTTTGCTCCTCTGCATTATTTGCAGCTTGAGAAGTGACTGAATATTTTGATTTACTATAATTATTCCACTCCTTTTCCAACACTATGCTTTACAAAGCTGTTCATGATGATTTACTACGGGCATCCACTATCCAACACCAATTCCACTGTCAGTCACCTTCCCTCCATCACTATCTCCATGGCCCCAGGCACAGCTCAAGGCCTGTCCCCCAAGGAACCCCAAATAATTTATTTTCTATAGTTGTTATCAACACATGGGTAATGGAATGATCAAAAATATTTCCTTAGAAGAAAATTAGTGAAAATTGTTCATTCTCTCAGTAAGTCCTTGTCTGAGGAATTACAAAATGCTACACGTGAACCTTTCTGTGTTCGTGTTTGTGTAAGCTGAGACTGGTTGGCTTTCATATCATATCCCGTCCGATCTGGCATGCTCCTACTGAACTGTCTGTGTTGGAGACTTTGACGATGTTGAGAGGCCTCAACGTTGTGGCCGTATGCTCCAGGAAATCCAGAATATTTCAGTGGGGGATACTGCTGGAGTTCAATTTTGAACTGGGATATGTCTGAGAAATTTTTGTGGCTAGTTTATCTCTTTCGAGATTTATCTATGAGTCTCTGAAACACAGCCGGTAAATAAACTTATATGGTGGCGGAGGTGGTTCCTGGGCTATTTTCATTTTCATCTTTAAAATGACCTGAGTATAGATGACAGCATTATGAACATTCAAAGTTCTCACTGGTCTAATGTTTCTATCATGATACATGGCAAATTTTTTTCTAGAACAGGAAAAAAATTGGATAAAAGATTTTATATAAAAATACTGACCAGTCTGAAGAATATGCAGTGATAATTTTTAGCAGTATATATACAAGCAGCCAGTTATTTTTTCTTAAGTTAACACATTTTTTAATTTAAGAGTACTGCTATTTATTAAGCCAATGACTAAGCTGATTGAGCAGGCTATGACTCCACATTAATTTTTATTTTTTTTATTTTTTAAATTTTTTTAAAAATTTTGTTGAATCACCGTGAGATAGTTACAAGCTTTCATGTTTGGGTTACAATCATACAATAATCAAACACCCATCCCTCCTCCAGTGCACATTCCCACCACCAATATCCCCGGTATACTCCCCCTTTCCCACCCTCCCCCTGCCTCCATGGCAGACATGATTCCCCATAATCTCTCTCTACTTTTGGGCATTATGGTTTGCAATACAGATCCTGAGAGGTCATCATGTTTGGTCCTTTATCTTCTTTCAGCACACATCTTCCATCCAGACCAATTCTTCCCGCCATCTTTCTCTTAGTGATCACTTCTCTATTCTAGCTGCCTTCTCCCCTTTGCTCATGAGGCAGGCTTCCAGTTATGGAGCAATCTATCTGTCCCGTGTATCTACTATCGTTAGGTGTCAGTCTCATGTTATATTATTTTATACTCCACAAATGAGTATAAAATACTTCTATGTCTGTCCCTCTCTTTCTGACTCATTTCACTTAGCATGATACTCTCCATGCCTATCCATTTATAAGCAAAGTTCATGGCTTCATCTCTCCTGACAGCTGCATAGTATTCCATTGTGTAGATGTACCAAAGTTTCTTTAACCAGTCATCTGTTCCAGGGCACTTGGGTTGTTTCCAGATTTTGGCTATTGTGAACAGTGCTGCAATGAATATATAGGTACAGATGTCATTTCTAATGTGCTTTTTTGCATCCTCGGGATATATTACCAGAATCCACATTACTTTTATAAAAAATTTTTTTCTATTAGATATTCACGAAATAGACCATTACAAATTTTTTTCATAATTGGGTTTCACGCATACAATGTACCAGCACCCATACCTCCACCAGTGCACACTTCCCACCACCAATGCCCCCTGTGTCCACACCACCATCCCCCAGCCCCCCACCCCCTTCACCTAGCCTCCTTGTATGGAAGGCATTTTCCTTCCTGCTCTCTCTCTCCTTTTCCTTGTATGCATTATGGTTATCAATACACGTGTTAAGATGTCATGGTGTTTGTTCAGGGCATTCGGTATTTTTATTCGGACAGTAAGGCTGGAGTAGCATTTCGATTAGGTGGCAGTTTTACAGTGTGGATGTGATTTCCGAGGCTTCTGGAAGTACAGGGAGGTGGAGGGGAGTAGCCTATTCGAACCCCAAGTAAGCCTGGAGATTTCGGTCACAAAACCCGCATACCAAAATTTTAATCAGATTATATCTTCATGAAGTACATCCTGAGACTGTGGAGTCAAGTCGGAGATTATGGCAGCGATTTTGGATTGTGGAAACAAGTGGCTGCTGGGGGTTCTGCTTGAGCAGACACAGGCCAACCTGCCCTCCTCTGATTTACATGGCAAAATTTTTAAAGGCTGATATGATTAAGGATGGGAGGTCTCTTAAAATTCAATATTAGTAACATTTTCAATAGAAGCCAGAAGTACACTGCATATTACATTACGGTCACATAAGCCATGTAACGCTGGTCTCTGTTTGCACACAGGAATTTTGACCATGAAGAAGAATGTCTCCAGTCTGGAAACCAGCAGCATGACCTCTAGCCACTGGGCAGTGGGCATGATGTTTCTCATTCAGACCTTCGTGGGGGTCCTGGGGAATTTCTCTCTGTTGCTTCAATATGTCTCTCGTTCATTCACAGGGGCTAGGTTGAGGCCCACAGATTTGATTCTTAGACACCTGACCGTAGCCAACTGCTTGGTGATTCTCTCAAAAGGAGTCACCCAGACAACAGCAAGTTTGGGTCTGGAAGATTTCTTGGGGGATGCTGGGTGCAAAGTCATTTTCTACACCCACAGAATGGGCAGAGGTGTGTCCACAGGCAGCACTTGCCTCCTGAGTGTCTTCCAGATGGTCACCCTCAGGCCCTGGACCCCACGTTGGGCTGAGCTCAAGAACAGAGCCGCAAAGTATCTTGACTCCTCTTTGATGCTGAACTGGGTACTGAATCTGTTGATCAATGTTATGGTCACTGTGAGCATAACTGACAGATTGGGCAGAAAAAACATCACAGGACAAAGAGATTTGGGATACTGTTTTGCCTCTTTTCATTATGAAATCTCAGCCTATATCTATATAACAGTGTTGTCATTCCCTGACTTCTGCTCTCTGGGCATCATGGTGTGGGCCAGTGTCTCCATGGTGTCCATTCTGTACAGGCACAAGAAACAAGTCCAACACATTCACACCACTCATGGCACCCCCACAGAGTCCCCAGAGACTAGGGCCACCCACAGCATCCTTGTGCTGCTCAGTGTCTTTGTGTCCTTGTACGCCCTCTCCTCCATCTTCCACGTGTATCTCGTCCTTTCCCCAAGTCCCAGCTGGGTGCTGGTGAACACCTCTGCGCTGTCTGCTGCTTGCTTCCCCACTGTCTGCCCCTTTGTGCTCATGCGCCATCTCCCCAGTATCATTGGGCCCTGCTGTGACACATGTGCCCCTCGTATCATCAGAAAAGATTAAGTCACATGCTTCCTTCTTTCTCTGAAGTTGTTTATTCACTCCTCTTCTTCAGAGACCTAAGGACTAGGAAAGAGTCAGGATCTGTTTAAAAATTCTGGGAACTTTGCCCTCAAAAGGAAACAATCAAAAGAGTCACATCAGAAGTGAAACTTCATGTCTTGATTATGCAGACATTCTGATTCTTCAAATGCTATGACTGTTTCCAGTGGAGAAGCTCAGTCTATGCATTGAAGACTTTAGGGCATAAAACAATCAGATACAATCGGGAATTATTTGTGGTGTGTGAAATTCAGTACGGCGATTCAGACTTTCTCTTCTCTAACATGGGGCTTCTCTGATGGCCCCCCTTGCGAGGATGTGTCTGTGAAATGATCATTCACAGAACTAAAGGGGAAATGAACCCGCAGGTTAGTGGAGTGGCCCGGGAGATACCAACTTCGCTTTGGAGTGTAGATATTGTGGTCCAGTATGAGTTTCCACTATTCCATCGTAGATGATCTCCCAGCCTGAATGAATGCCCTGGAGAGCTGGGCATGCTTCGGGTTGTCATATGCTCATTTTGACATGCTTACATGCTAGCTTATTGTGACAAAGAGGAGAACAAGACAGGCTGCTGATTATTTAAGTGTACAAGGGATCAACAAATACACAAAATACTGTGTCTCTGGGCTGGGAGAGTGTTGAGTGGTAGAATATCTTCACCATATGTTGGGGCCCCGAATCAAGCCGAAGCAGCAGATGTAGCTCCCCTCGTGATGTGGGGAAACCCCAGGTCACCACAGGGCAGAGCCCCTCACTCTAGACAGTATCAGCCGGGGACAAGCTCCAAGGGCTGGGCTCATGCTCTGCATGCAGGAGCCCCAAGTTCAATTCCTTGTAACCACATGGTTCCCCAAGGCTTTCAGGGAGAGATCTTGAGCACTGTGACAGGCGTAGTCCCTGAGCACCACTGGATGTGACCCCACCGCGTCCCAGCCCCTCACCATAGATACATATCTAGTGTCTTGGAGCAAGGCAGTTGCTACTGCTGGTTTTAAACTGCACAACGTCTTTTTTTTCTATACTGGGCAATTATGCCAATTGGCAATGTTCTAAAAGCAGGCTCTCTGGGTACACGCTCCTGATTCAACGTGAGGAAGAATGTTGAGGTGGTTTGTCATTAGCTCTAAGGAGTTATAAATAACCAATGACAAAAGGAAGATGTTTCCAGTGTGCCAATTAGGACATCATAACCTTTGGACTTATGCCAGCAAAATGGATGCTGATTTGGGAAATATTACTATTTGTGTTTTTTTGTGTGTGTTTTGGCCTCACCTGGTGGGCTCAGGAGCAACTCCCGGTACTGTGTTGGGGTTCACTCCTGGCAGTGCTCATGGCACCCTATGGTGCTAGGAATGGAATTCAGGCCTCTTGAATGCAAAGCCTGTGCTTCAGTCCCCTGAGCTATCTCTCCAAACCCCAAATATTGATGTAATGTTGCTTAAAATAACATGAATCAGATTCGGAACTTGAAGAATTCAAAACGGAAAGCATTCAAATCTTCAAAACTTGGGAGTGAAGAGACAGTATGGCAGGAAAGGCATTTTTTTTCTTGCATGGATCTGACCGGGGTTTGATCTCCATCATTCATATGGTCCCCAGAGCATCATCAGGAGTAATCCCTGAGCATTGCTGGGTATGGCCCCAAAACCAAGCAAAAACTTCCCTCTCCCCCCAAAAATTCCAAAATTTAAAATTCAGAACTTGAAACATTCAAAACTTAAAAGTGAGAATTAATCTGAACCAATGATACGTGTTTCTGGTAACTCATATTTATTTGACTGGTGCCTCAGGGCTGGAGCGATAGCACAGCAAGTAGGGTGTTTGCCTTGCATACAGCCAACCCAGGTTCAATTCCCAGCATCTCATATGGTCCCCCGAGTACTGCCAGGTGTAATTCCTGAGTTCAGAGGCAGGAGTAACCCCTGTGCATCGCCGGATGTGACCTAAAAAGCAAAACAAAAAAAAATTTTTTGACTGGTGCCTCAAGCACCAAGACAGACAAGAGTCTACAGCCTTAGGGTAATGAAGATTCTCTTCCTACACCTCTCTTCCCTTCCTCCTCTTCCTCTTTTTCTTTTTTCTTTACCTAATTGTGCTCCACCTTCTCCTCCTTCTATCACACCTGTTGGTGCTCAGAGTTTATTACTGACTCTTGACTCAGGTGTCACTCCTGGTGGGGCTTTGAGGATCTTATGGGGTGCTGGGGTTCAAACTCAGGCCAACTGCATTCAATGCAAGTCCCTACTTGCTGTACAATCTCTCCAGCCCCAAGAGTGATACCTTGAACTAGTCGTCTTGTTCATTGTTCATGAAATATGGTGGCAAATTTCTACCATGAGTTCATACAACCTAAAGTTGTTTGAGCACTGAGAACATTTCATTCTCCCTGGAAGCTGCCAGCTCCCCCCGATGGACGGAAGTGAAGGAAGCGACAGTTTGCATTGGGACCATGGACAGCTAAATGGGGGTGGTAATAGATCCCCAGAAACTCCCCTACCTGAAGCGAATGCTCCATCTTCAACTCAGGATTGGCACTATGCTGAAACATATGAGCATGGCAAAATGATCAGCTAAGTTGAGGAGGCATTCAGAGACCCAGCAATTCACAGAATAAAGTCATGGCATTTATTTATTTATTTAGTTAATTAGTTAGTTAGTTATGGCTTGTGGTGTCACCTCTGCGGATACTCAGGGATTACTCCTGGATCTTCAATCAGGATTACTGCTGGCAGTGCTCAGGGGACCATATGGGATTTTCGGCACTTGCACCCTTGTCAGCCACCTGCAAGGCAAAATCCCTCCCCACTGTGCCATTGCTCTGGCCGCACATCATGAAATTTACATCAGGCCACTCTGTATGACTCAGTGCAAAATCATGGGAAAGTATGGACACTGGGTGAGAGCAACACGATCCCCAAGTGCCTAGGAATCTCTTAGAACTTACTCGGAAACAAGCTTATGCAGACCACCTCATCAGACATGGTCAGGGCTAGGAGGAACTAGTTGGTCCAAACAGAATGGGAAATGAGGGTGATCTCATTTTACTCGCTTCAGGAAGTCTGTGAGCTTAACAGCATTTTCACCCCGCCTCACACTTTCTGCACATTAATTTCTAGTTACAGAAACAAAATAAGACTCCAAAGACATTATTCACATCACCAGTAAGAATTTCCTATTAGAGGCCTATTTCACTTACCCACCAATCTAATAGATGAGATGAAATTCTTTTTTGAATTTTTTTTTATTGAATCACTGTGAGATATTTACAAGCTCCCATGTTTGAGTTACAAACAACATGATCAAACACCCATCCCTCCACCAGTGCACGTTCCCACCACCAACACCCCCAATATACCCACCCTTTCACACTCTCCCACTGTCTCCATGGCAAACAATATTCCCCATATTCTCTCTCTACTTTTGTGCATTATGAAATCCAAATTTGCAGTGAAAGGATTATGTTCTGAAATCCATCTCCAGGATACTATTCAGCAAATGCAATTTCAGGGGTATGGGATGGTGCCTGCAACCTGTCTCTGCAGGCGATAAAGGGCCTAGTGGAGTCTGGCTGTCCTCATAGAACTAGTGTGTTTTTATGCCAGTAAGTGGGGTAGAAATAACGCTCTTAAATGTTCGCCTAGGGACTCTCATGAAGGCATCAGTTCCCCTCCTGGGAACATGAATGCTATGCTAAGTAGGATGAGACACTTCCCCAGTCAAAGTGGAAAGGGAACTTGCAATGAAAGCAACTAGTATTGCTTTGCGGTCAGCGTGGTCAGACTCACCTGCACCATGTAACACGTTTCTTGGTTTAACTTTTAAAAATCTCACTCCCAGGCTCAACACACAGTTCTCAGTATCTATGTTTTAGACTATGCACAGGGCTCTACTGATATCATCAAGTAAAATGATATATCAATAAGGGCCATGAGAATAGGCAAGTCTGACCTGAGGAACAGGCATTTCTTGGAAATAATATTTTGTGAAAAAGTGAAGTTCCATATGTTCCAGCTATGATCTCAATGCAGGTGTGTCACCAACTGATAATACTGTTCATTGCTGTGATTGGTGGCACTGTTGACCCAAAGTGAGGGACAGGAATGAATAATTGGGGTTGAATGAATCACGGTCATGGTCCTCCCGTTGTTCATCGATTTGCTCGAGTGGGCCCAGTAATGTCTCCATCATGAGACTCGTTGTTACTGTGTTTGGCATATCGTATATGTCATGGGTAGCTTGCCAGTCTCTGCCGTGCGGGCGAGATACTCTCAGTAGCTTGCCAGGCTCTCCGAGAGGGGAGGAGGAATCGAACTCGGGTCGGCCATGTTGGCCGCTTGTAAGGCAAACACCCTACCGCTGTGCTATCGCTCCAGCCCATTGTGGAATGAATAATTGGGTTTTAATTATACCTCCTGTCAGGGATGAAGTCCCTGTCAGCCCCGGCAGGTGCTTTCACTCTAAATTGGTTACTGCACTAACCCAGAGGCTGTCCTAGAACACCACTGCAGTAATTCGAGAATCACAGAATGAGTCCAATGCATAAACTGGTGACAACAAAGAAGATTACCTAAAGTCTAATGATCGAGGCTAAGAAATTAATACCCTGTCAGGATGGACCAACTTCTTATACTTCTGGAAGCTTTGGCATTCACATCCACACCCCAAAGCTGCCACCCAGTTAAAAAAAGCTATTCCAGCGTTATCTTCTTCCTGATAAAAATACTGGACACCCTGACTCCTAGTACCTGTATTGCAAACCATAGTACACAAAAGGAGAGAGAGAAAAAGAAGAAAAGTGCCTCCCAATTAGGCAGGCTGTGTGTGTGGGGGGGGGGGGGGAATGGGGGTGGTGGGACAGTGACAGGAGACATTGGTGGTGGGGAATTTTGGGACAGTGACAGGAGACATTGGTGGTGGGGAATTTACACTGGTGGAGGGATGGATGTTGGATCATTGTA